TAGTGTAAGGCGGTCGATGTCAAATATAATAACCCAACAAGGTTGGGGTCGAATCCCAAAGGGAATAGGCGTGAAAAGATTACTCGAATAGTGTGTTGCTCGACTCAAGTCGTAATTCTATTCAGCTAACAGTAACAGGAGTGCGAATTAATAGTAACAAGAGTATGGATTGAGTTTGTTTTGAGGTAATAACGAGTTGGAATATTGAGAATGTAATTAATTTGATTAAAGCAACCAAGGTTGTGTCCCCTTTTATGAAGTGTAATGCTATCGGTGTTAATATGATATATTTCTAATGGAAGGTCCTTTTGATATGCAATTGATGTCTAGGTGACTACCGAATATTTCCCAATAGGTGGGTAATATTTCCTCTTTATAATTTTCCCGAATGTAAAAGAGTTACAATTAATAACAATCAATATATGCAAAATAAAACCCACTTATTCCTAAGCGATTTTATTAAACAAGGTTTAAAGCCTTGAGTCTTTGATATTTACTTCTACCAAATTCTAACCCACTTTCCCAAGCAAGAAAGAATTTAATGGCACTTGTCAAAGTTTGCAACCACTAACAATAAATGAAGAATGAGAAGTTAATAAATATCAACCAACCATGATATATATATTCAATGTTAAACACCCATTTAGGGTCCGCAACCTTAGTATTTAGAGTTAGCTACTCATACTACAATACAAAAGCAAGAGAATAATAAATGCCATAAAGCTTACAGAGTGAAGATTCTTCACCCAAAAGATGCCAAAAGTGAAGAATATTTAAGTCTTGGAATGTAGCTCAAAAACTAGACAAGATGAGCCCACAAAAACATCATAAAGCTATTTATAGTGGACTGAAAATCGGGACAGAAAACGGACAAAAATTCCCTTTCAGGTCAGAAATGCGACCGCATTCTTGTCGCATAAGTGAAATGTGGTTCGCATTTTGGACGTCCCCATCGCAGACTGAAACCCTAGTTTTCAGATCTTCATCGCAGTCCAGATCTGCGGTTCTCATTGTAGAAATGCGATCGCATTTTGCATCGCACATTCGTCCTTCAGCAACCTTCATGGTTGGTTTGCGGTCCACTTTGCGGCTCATAGACAGGTTTTACGGTGGCATAATGGACCGCATTCTTGACTTGAGATTTGCCTAGAACTCTGCTTTTGTCTGCGATATGAGTGTCGATTATGCGGCTCGCAGATGTGATCTGTGATCGCATAATGCGTCGCAGAATAGCATTTTTGCTACATTTTGCTCTTTTCTTGTCTTTTTTCATTCATTTCCATGCTCCTAGGTCCTTAGTCCTTATGTACTGTAAAAGCACCAAAATTACATGAGTAAAGGAGGTAATTGCATTAAAACAAGCTAAAATCTAAGCAACTAGTATTGAAATGTGCCGAAATTCCCCGGCACATCAACACCCCAACTTAAACTCTTGCTTGTCCTCAAGCAATTAACACGACACTATCATATTCAAGACACTATTTACAGAACATGAACCAAAAATGACCATGAGTGGTGTTTTTTGCTAGTACTTCAAGAATATGACTTCTATTGTTTTACCCTTCCTGAACCAATCAATATATACAAGGAAAACTAATCAACTTATGAACGTTGAGCCTCCGACAGGGTGACTAAGTGCTACCCTCAGCTGAGTGCACTTGTATTTGACTCCAAAGCTCAACTTATATTCTACCTTACAGTTCATGTGCCCTCACTAGAAAGAAAGTCCCAAAATCACATTATATACAATGACAACAAAACAAAAAGGGACGAATTCACAAAGACACTCACTCTCGGAAAAGAGTTTCAAGTGTTTCAACATACCATACCATAGGCTTGCCCTTATTTTAATTCATCGCCTTATTCTAAGAACACTCGGTTGGAGATCCCATAAGGAATTTTTTGCTTGTAATGTAGGTTTAGGAAAGGGTCGGATACGCATTTGGATACGAGTGACTTCACCCTCCTTGAACACTACTCGCATTTTTCATTCTTTGCACTATGTTTCTTTTCAACCCACGATGCCTCGTTGGCATCTAGTTCCCGATGTAGAACCACCTTAAATACCTCTCCATTTTCTTCAAGGCTCCATAATTTATATACATACAAATATTTCTCTTTTTTTCTCTCTTTTTTTTTACACGTTTTCTTTTTGGAGCTTGAATAGTTTAGCACAAACACTTTGAGGTGTACGATCCTACACTCAATGCACAACCTTACCAGTTTCCATTTTGACATCACACCCCCAACTTAGGCTTTTAGCCTCATTCTCAATGTTCAAGGAGGGACGGGTTCAAAAGAGGGAGTTATTTTACAAAAAGGGAAAGGTTTGTAATGGGGTAGCCAAAGAAAAGGTTAAAGACTCAAATGGGGTGACTAAGGACATTAACTGCACAATAGGTGGCTTGAAAGGTTAACTGGCTTGAAAGATCACAAAGACTGCCTAAGGTCATCTCTCCAACCAAGTGTAATTATTATAAGCATCGAAAGACCAACCGGGCAAGTTCTAGATGGCAGAAGCAACACAAGAAATATTCACACAAAGAACTCACACACATGGCACACGAACTTTTTGGCTCACATAGTTTGAAGCCCTCGAGTCAACACTTGGAAACTCAAAGCTTCCATCATATGTACAAGTATAACTCTAGGTAGACATAGAGTCACAGAGCGAGCCTCAAGTTCACACAGTTGATATCTTTCTCTAGAAGGTTATATGCTATGTATAGACACACATGCTTGAGACTAGACAATTACACCAAACAGGTCAAGATGTTTCATTCTACTGTCCTGGTTCTACTATTACACCCTTGGAAAAGAACCCGGCGAAGAAAAACCAAGGGGGATTCATTGCTAATTACTAAGGATGAATGACTATCTATTTTGTTTTTTTTTATTATTTTTTTTACATGCATAAGGGTATCATATTCACAAGGGTACCATGACTTATGCATTGGAATCACAAAAACACTAATATAAACATGATCACAAACTACACAACACATCTTATATATAGAAACCATACTAACATACACAGAACACAACATGCACATATGCTCAACAGTTGCTAATGTCACAAAAGTCCAATGTCACAACAGTACTAACAAAGTTACCACCACCCCCAACTGAACAACATGCATTGTCCCCAATGCATAAAAAGCAAAAACAGAGAGTGTGAGGGGCCCCCTGAGGCGCACTAAGCGCTGTGGGAGTCAGTAGCCTACTCAGTGATGGCGGTGTCACTCGCCGATGCTGAAGCTGGAACCGATGAGAGCTCAGTCTGAGGAGGGACCTCGACTGTAGTGGGGATCTCTGGCTGGTCACGAACTGGAGCTGGAGCTGGAGCTAGGACCTGTGAGCTGCTAGCCTCGCCCACTGATGGCTGAGTGGCCGATGATTCTGCAGGGGCGGCCAAATCTGCTAGCGAATGTTCAATAGTTGCTGAAGTTCTATTTGCTCCACCTCAGCACTTGTAGGAACCACAAACTGCTTGCCCTTCTCCTGAGGGCCATCATCCTCCGAGGACCATGAACTTTCCTCCTCCTCATCCTCATCTGCTTCCTCATCTTCAGACTCAGTAGATCGTCCGGAAACCTCCTCATCCGGAATGTCAATGCGTACAGGAGGAGCTGAGGGTTGGGAAGTCCCGGCTGTAGGAAGGACACCATCAGTCATAAGTGCAGAGAAGTCAAGGCCTAAGTCCGGAGCTGCTGTGCCTGCAACCTGACCACCATCTGTGGAGAGGAGGGATGATAGATCGAACTCCAAGTTCTGCATTTTGTGGAGCTCGGTCTTCATAGAAGCAACCTCCTCCTTGAGGTCAGGCAATCCACTAACTTCACCCCGCTCTATCTTCTCCACCCTCAACTCAAGTTGCTCCAAACGATCCTCATACACTAATTATTGTTTTTGGAGAGCTGTCACTGAGGATTGCATAGGAGTAAGGGCTTGTTTGATGAGATTGGGCAAGGTCTTCAAGAGCTGGTCCACCTTGGAATTGGCATGCTGAGCCAGGAGACCAAGCTTTGAGACGGCTGGAATGGCAACAGAAGTCTGAACAGTGGTGGTCTGAGTGGACTGAGAGGTAGGCTCGGAGGCAGAAGTGGAGGCCACTGTAACCTGAGGAGTTGACGTAGTCTGGGGGTCAAAGTGCTCTACATCAATCAGATCCTGAGCTTGAACCTATGGTGGGATAGCAGCATCACTAATACGTGTGATATCAATGTCCCTTGTCTCCTTCCCTGTTTTGTCATAGTGTGGCATGAGAGGAACTTTCACAGCTTTACAGAGAGCTGTGATCAGGCAAGGGAAAGGAAGTGAAGTGGCCTGCTGCTTTGCCCGGATCCCAATTTCTTGGAAAATCATAGCTCCAACATCTATCTTGATACCCGTCATGATACATGCGATGAGAAGAGCCTTCTCAATGGCTATTTCAGTTTCATTCCGAGTTGGCACCAATCGAGAAGTAACAAAACTGAGCCAGTAGCGACCCTCTCTCGTGAGATCTTCCTTGTATATCTTGTGCCGAGGGTTTATCCAAGCAGGGGTCCCCTTTGCTATCACCGAAGCAATCCACCCACGCTCATTCTCCCTATTTGCAAATTTAGCATCGTACTCAGCTGTGCCCGCTCTCCAGTCAGGGATATACAGTTCATTTATGGCGTCGCTGTTGCAAAACACACTCTGCCCCCGAACAAGGACAGTGTCAACAAAGATTCTGTTGCGTTTGTGGTGTGCTGTCCTAGAAGCTCCATACGATGCATAAAATTCCCGCACAAGGGTTTCATTGTACTCAGTGGGTGGCTCAGTGAAGCACTCCCATCTCCGTGCTTTTATGTTCTCCAAGATGTGGGGGTACTGATCTTTCATCCCGTTCAAGCTCAATTATTTTTCGGCCAGGATTTTGCGCTTGGTGAACCCTTCTCTGTATAGTTCCCTGGACCCCTCAACCCCAAATCGGAGGTGGAAGTCTTCGCCACGTTTCCTTCTTTCTTCAGCCTCTAAATTAACTGAGGGCCTGACCTCCTCCTCTTCAGACTGGGAGGGGTTTGGCACATTTGCTTCCGTCCGTGAACGTTTTGCTTGTGATTCCTGGCGACTGGAGGAAGCCCTTTTTTATGCAGAGGCTGAGTGTTTCTTTGGAGCCATATCTGCACAATGGTGAAGTATGAGTGACAACATTAGCAATACTGAGAAAGAACAGAATAAATTAAAGGAAAAACATGAAATGCGACATGATCTGTGGTCGCAAAACCACAATGCGGACCGCAGAATCGTCGCAATTCTGTTAGTCTCAATGGGTCTCAGTCTGCGGTAGGTTATGCGGTCGCATAACCACTATGCGGACCACATAGCCATCACAGAATTTGACTTGCCCAAAACATACATTACAAAATAAAATCGCAAACTCCACCGCAAAGTGGGGAATGCGATCCCAGAACTACCGCAAAATGCATGGCTCTTAACTGGTGGTCTGTGTCACTCTGCGGTAGCATTTCGGTCTGCATATCAATATGCGATCGCAAAGTCACGCATTTCACCATCTTCATCAGAGGACCTAGGGTTAAGTTTTGCGGCCAAAATGCGGACCACATTTTGACTTTGCGGGCCACATATGCCTTCTTCTTCGAGATTCAAGAAATCAACTTAACCATGGCGGTTCTATTTGCTTCTACCCATTGCCCCAGATAGGTTTCCAACCCATAAACGACTATGCTACGAAAAAGAAACTACTATACAAAGCAACATACAATCACACAGTTTTTTAGAACGGGACGAACGAGAATCAACGAGCACACAACAAGGAATCTTGAACAAGAAGATTGGGAAAAAGGGTATATACCAGCGAGTCTTAGTGTACACACTATAGAGATGAGATTTGATTGCTTGAACGATTCGATTCCTAGCCCTCCGTTGTTTGCTTCCTGTTCGTTTCGTATTTTTCCCTTTTTCTTTGTTTCTTTTGTTTTTTTTCTTTTTGTTTGTTTTTGTTTTGCTTTGAGTGAGTTAGATATGAGAGAATGCGGCCACATACCTGTTGATTTTGCGATTTGCAGGGCACCGCATAACACACTATGCGACCGCATATGTGTTATGCGGTAGGTTCAAATGAGATGCTAAAGAGTCAGAAATGCGGTGCACAATGCGGTCGCATAAGTGAAATGCGGTCCGCATACTGCACAACCTTATCGCATTCTGACAACTAATTTTAGCCAAACTCACTGCTTGGGTGTGCGACCAAAATGCGCTCCGCATAATTAAAATGCGACCGCCTTTTTGCAGCAAACTTCACACAGCTATTTTTCTTACCTTTCTCATGCAGTCCCACCATGTGTTGTGATCTTTTGAACCCCCTGCACTCTAACACACACTTTAAATTGCTCAAGTAAATCTATCTATCAAAAATTAAAAATTCAAAGAACAAAAGAGTGTTACCACACATGGGTTGCCTCCCATGAAGCGCTTGATTTAACGTCGCGGCACGACGAAGTTGATGTTCCTTTGTATTCACTCAATGGTCGGACACGGACCATCTTTTAAAGCTAGCTGCTCCACCAAATGCTTTTCTCCATCTGTGCCCAGTTAATGCTTGATGCGTTGGCCATTTACCTTGAAAGTCCGGGACCCATCTTCCGATGCCAGTTCCACAGCTCCATAAGGAGAGACGTTTACCACTTTGAACGGAATGGACCATTTGGATTTTAGCTTGCCCGGAAACAATTTGAGCCTGGAGTTAAAGACCAAGACCAAGTCCCCCGACTTGAACTCCCTTTTCAAGATCTTCTTGTCGTGGACGAACTTCATCTTTTCCTTATACACAGCTGCACTTTCATATGCATGGAAACGGAATTCCTCCATTTCATTGAGTTGTGTCAACCTCAAATTTGCAGCTTCAGCCCAATCCAAGTTCAACCTTTTCGGAGCCCACATGGCTTTGTGTTCCAATTCTACAGGTAGATGACAAGTTTTTCCGAAGACTAACCGATATGGAGAAGTGCCAATATGAGTCTCCACAATGCGTCATCTAGCTTCCTCGACCAGTCTGTCCTGTTTGCATTAACAGTTTTTGCTAGAATGCTCTTGATCTCCCGATTGGTAACCTCAACTTGACCACTAGATTGGGGATGATAAGGTGTGGCCACCTTGTGCTTGACGCCATACTTTTCTAGTAGCCCCGTAAAAGCCTTGTTACAAAAATGAGACCCACCATCACTAAGAATGGCCCTAGGAGTGCCAAACCGAGTGAATATGTTTTTCTTCAAGAAAGCAGTCACACTTCTTGGTTCATTGTTAGGCAAAGCAATTGCTTCAACCCATTTGGAAACATAGTCCACAGCTACCAAGATGTATTTCATCCCACAAGAGCTCACAAATAAACCCAATAAAGTCAATTCCCCACACATCGAAGATTTCTATCTCCATCACAAAGTTCATAGGCATTTCATGCCTCTTGGAGATTGATCCTTGCCTTTGACATTGGTCATAAGCCTTGACTATTTGATTGGCATGATGATAGATTATCGGCCAATAGTAACCACATTCAAGTACCTTGGCCGCCGTTCGATTTTCCCTATGATGACCCCCAACCGGTGAGTCATGGCATGCTTTTAAAATAGGCATAACTTCTTCTTCTAGAAAACATCTTCGGATGATGTTGTCGGCACAAACACGGAACAAGTATGGCTCTTCCCAATAATATTGCGGACAATCTCTCAAGAACTTCTTCTTTTGATAGGACTCCAAACCCTTTAGAATAAGGTCACTCACCACATAGTTAGCAATGTCGGCATACCAAGGAGCAAAAGTGCTAGAAAGTGCCAAGATGTGTTGGCGCCAATTTTGATGACGTCCAAATCCACTACTAAAAAGTAAATGGACACGGTCGCATGCAATATAATTTACCCAACTATGAGTCGGGGTCGAATCCCACGGAGAACAATAAGTAGACGATTACAAATGTAAGAGAATTATCACTTATCGTGCAATGCCAAACATTAAGACTTGGGTTTTTGGAAAATGTTTATACCTAAATGTGAAAATGTAAACTAACCTAGAAAGCAAGTAAAATGATCAATGGCTGTAAGTATGAATGCATCGGGAATTACACTCAAGTAATGATCCAATGTATTTCATGATTTTACAAATATGAGCGAGTTTATGTTAATTAGCCACGGATAATAATTCTTAATTAGCTTCTTTCGAAGACTAACAATACTTCCTAATTGAATTATCCCTAAAACAATTAAGAGATTAAGCACACCCGGAATGGCTACAAGTAGTTTAATCCTATCCCTAGGTAGAATCTATAAAATGAGGGTTAACGCCTCAAGTTCTTGTTAATTAATCTTTCCCAACACCAAATTATCTTTTCCAAAATTAATTCGGAGTTAATGGGCGAGTCCTAGGGTTAGCTAATCCCTTTGGAAACATTAAAGAACAAGAATAATCAAAATAACAATAACTCACTTCATAAAAAAATAAAAATCATTCAATACATAAGCACAACAAGGTATTTAATCCACACTTTAAATATGAGTATTTCCATAAACAAGATTCAAGTGTTGGAAATAAATACTACACACTTAAATGTTCAATACAAAGCAAGGAAATGAAGAAATAAACATAAATGGGTAAGAAATCCTTAACCACAAGCTTGAAATCTTCA